GGTGTTGTGAACCTGAATGGTGAGGACATTAAGTCCAAGCGTGGCGTGCGGCAGGGCGATCCATTATCTCCCTTGCTGTTTATGATGGTAATGGATGAAGTGGTGAAACAATGCCGGCCAGAGCTCGGCTATAACTTAGAAAGCACAAGAATTGGGGCGCTGGCGTATGCGGACGACTTAGTACTACTGGCTCCTTCTCGTTCCGAGTTGGAGGAGAAACTGGAAAGGTTAGCCCCAGCCCTAACAGCTGCGGGTATGGATTTGAATGGCGCTAAAAGCGCCGCTATGATTGTAGAGAAGTCGGGAAAGCATAAAACGCTGGCAATTGTGCCTGGGTCACTCCAGGTTGGACTATGATTGTAAGTCGGGAAAGCATAAAACGCTGGCAATTGTGCCTGGGTCACTCCAGGTTGGAACTGAGGAAATTAAATGTTTGGGACCCACAGACACAGTGAAATACCTGGGTCTGCGGTTCAACTGGAAAGGAAGATTGAGAATGAATGCTGGGAATATTTTCCAAGAAATGCTATCGAATATATCCAGGGCTCCGCTGAAGCCCTACCAGAAGCTTGAAATACTCAAAGAGTTTGCGACCCCGCGCCTGCAGTACGAACTGGTTCTCGGCAGTGCGCACAGGAACACCTTGAAAGCGTTGGACGTGGCGGCTCGCCACGCGGTGAGGGCATGGTTACGGTTGCCCAAGGATACCCCCTTGGGTTTTTTCTACGCGAAAGTTGAAAGATAGGGGCTGGGACTTACGTCCTTCGCGACAACAATCCCGCTCCTCTAGAGAAAGAAATTTCAGCGTATAGCAAGCTCTCCCGACCCGGTGGTACGAAGCCTTCTCAAGGCTAAGAATGTGATGTCAGAACAAAGGTTGGCGTACATTCCTGTGCGTGCCAAAGAGACACTGGTGAGTTCGGCAGACGAGGTGTCACAGGCTTGGCGAGCTGATTTGAAGTCAAGTGTGGATGGGAGAGAGCTGGTCACAGAATCTGTTGACCATGCAAGTTTTGACTGGCTGGCGAACCCAAGGACTGTCCTGCCTCGACTTTTCATACGGGGTGTTCAACTCCGTGCGGGTGTCCTGGGCTCCAAGGTAAGAAATGCGAGGGGTCGATCGGTGGCCAGTGGCGACTTGTTATGCCGGGGGCGTTGTGGCGTGGCTGAGACCCTGAGCCACATCTTGCAGAGATGTCAGGTTACACACGACGCCCGATGTGCTAGACATAACCGGTTGGTGCACAACCTAGCTGGGAGGTTGTCTCGGAGAGGTTATGAGGTCATGACCGAACCGATTATTCCGGTAGGTGGAACCTTCTGCAAACCGGACTTAGTCGTTAGGCATGGAGAACAGGCATACGTCATTGATGTGACCGTTGCTCGAGGTCAACGATTGGCCGAGAGCTGGTCTCTCAAGACGGAGAAGTATGGTTTGAGGGAAGTGGAGACCTTCATAAGGTCGAACCTCTTCGGACGACCTCTCGGGGATGTTAAGCATCTTCCGGTGGTGTTTACTGATCGGGGGTTGTTAAGTGAGCGTTCTGGTAAAGGTCTAAGATCCTTAGGCCTTAGTACGAAAGAGCTGTCAGTCTTCTGCTTGCTTGTGGTTCGGGGCTCCCTAGCCTGCTATGACGTCTACATGAGAGGAACTTAACCGGTCCTGTAAGACCCCTCTAGGGTCTTTTTTGTTTTTAGCTCATTCTGGTTGGTTTTTTTATCATGTTTTTTGATGGACGGATACTGCGCGTGCCCTCTCTTTTCTCTCTATCCTCACGCAGGAGATCTTTCCGACCAATGACGGTGGACCGCGGAAACCGGATGGACGCGATTCCCTGATGGCTGGGAAGACCCTCTGTGCAAGCCCAACGGCCCTGAGTCAAAGTCATCGGCGCTTGACCTCGGATTGGATCTTACGCGTTGGAACCATTATTCACCCCGAATGTTTTCTTGGAATGTTGCATGACTGGTCGAATACGCGACCTCGTGAATGACAGAAACCAGCTGAGCCTATTTTCTTCCCCGGTTGTTCTTGGGGAACCGAAGGCTGGACGTGCAAAGGACGAGTTCGCCGGAGGCGCTCGTGTGACAGGGGGAACGACGGACTGTGTTTCCTCGGGAGGTCTGAGGTATGGCCCTGATAATGCGGAGCTGGAGTGCTTAACACGGGAAAAGGCTGCATAGGCGGATTCCTATCTGCCACGATGGCCAAGGGGGGTCCCCAAAATAAGGACCTCACCTTCAGGTGTGATTAGACACCTGACCAAATTTCCCTGAAGCTAGGACGCTATTTCGACAGCGTTCTACTGTCGTTACCCGTAAGCACGCTAATTCCACGCCTGCTATTCCATGGGTTCAGACACTTGGACCAACCTTGGTTCGCGGGAAGTTGAGAGAAATGTCCACGGACTGCCGAAGGCCATTGGAGAACGAATGACACTATGCAAATTTCCCGCATAAACGCACGTCCTCCTCCCTCTTTGACAAGAGTTGATGCTTGTAAATGACATTGGCTCAAAATACACTGTTATCTATCCAAATGCCTCGTCATCTAATTAGTGACGCGCACGAATGGATTAACGAGATTCCTACTGTCCCTATCCAGCGAAACCACAGCCAATGGAACGGGCTTGGCAGAATTAGCGCGGAAAGAAGACCCTGTTGAGCATGACTCTCGTCTGTAGGACTTGTAAACTGCTCTTTTTCATGCTCAG